AGAGGCAAAAGTGGAAATTTTCTTCAAAAATATTTTTGTTGATCATGTTATAGTCAGCATTTGTTTCATTCAAAGCTTGGAAGTATGATAGCATATGTATACTATTTAGGTTTTTTTTATTATTTAAATTCAAAAATCAACAATTATCAATATTTACAAAATTAGCCTTGTTTGTAAAAAATAGTATTATAGCACTGTATAATGCAAGTTTTTTTTAAGTACATATCAGATAAAACATGATTTCTGCAATTTTTTTCATCAATCTAACAACGAAAACCATAATTAAATTTAAAATGTATACAGGGTTATTTTCGCCCCGTGTTATTTTCGCCCTTTCATACTTGCAAACAATTTTGCCCCGTTTTAAATTCGCCCAATCACAATTCTGTTTAACAAATTATACTGTGATTTTTGAATTCGCCCGTTTTAAATTCGCCCACTTGTGCATAGGGCGAAAGGGGCGAAAATAAAACGGGGGCGAAAATTTCCCTGTATACTAATAATTAATTATACATGTAAAATAGACAATTTTCTCAAATATTGACTTATCTTTCTCCTAGTAATTGCAGGGTAATCTTCGGCCGAAATGAAAAATAAGAGAAAGTCATATTATTAAGCTATTTTAATTCTTGACAAGTAAAACTAAAATAGAAAATAGAAAAATACCTACCATTTATTGAGGGTTATATATTTGCAGTTCCATGAATTAAGAATAAAAAAAATCATTTATAAATGTTTGTCTTTCAGGGGAAAACCTAACCGTCTTCTAATTAATTCTTACCTCATTTTATGTTATAATCTCAAATAATTGATGGGATTTTCCACTTATCATTAATCCATTGATTAGGAAAAGCCTTTAGTAAGTATATTTTTGTACTATTATAAATTTTCTTTTGTGCTATTTTTTTTTTTTTTTTTTTACTTTAAAAAAAAAAGAAGCTTTGAGCTATTCAGTGCCTAGATACATTGTAAGATCTTCAGTTTGCACGCAGTCCTCTTCGAGTTCGATAAAGGGGTTTTTCCAATGAAAATTTAAGTATATATATATATATATATATATATATATATATATATATATATATATATATATATATATATATATATATATATATATATATTGCAAATCTTTGAAAACGTTCATAGACATGAAAAGTACTCACCCTTATCCTGGGGCTATTCAGCTACTTCATCCCTTTATAGAAGTTAATGTGTTCTATGCGATGCATTCTACTAGAGTTTGTGTGTCCTATATTTAGAATGACTTGCATCACGTTTCAGGATGATTCTGTGCTACATAAATTGTTCTGATAAGAATAACAAGTACGTGCACTTGTAAACGCTCCATTCAAAACAAAAGTGTAGCGCATAAAATGTGTAATGCTTGTTTTACAATGTTAAAAGGAAAAGGTTAATGTTTGTGAAGTAATTAGAGAATTATTAACTCGCAAATTATATATAATTATTATATGACTATTGTGCACTATTTGATGTATATATAGGAACAGTAAATAATTTTGAGCATTTGGTCTCTTTCAAGACTGGGCTGTTCTCTCTTATTCATAGGTAACTATGAAGAGAGGACAGCTAATTTTAGAGAGAGAGGGGGGGGGGCATACAGACTGCAATATTGCAATGTTATATTTCAATAAACATAAAACAACATATGTAGAGGAAATTATTGCAAGCCATTATGAATGTAGAACACACATACTTTAGTGCAAACTGGGCATACTAACTCTACAATGTATATATACTGTGATGATTAAGTGATCCTCTGTCGAGAAGTTGACCTTACGATTAAGGTGATTACTTTTTTTGGTGTATGTATGTATGCTTACAAAAATTTACAAAAACTGATTCAGAAAATTATTTAAAAATAAAAGAAATACCAAAATGCAAATGACTCAGCTTATAAAATTGCCATTAAATCAAATTTAAAGTTAACGTGTCTTCAGTGATTGATTAACTTGTGAGAAATATGTCAGTTAAAATACAATTCATTTACAGCTTGCTAAGTGAAGATCTTACCTTCACTGTAGATATTATTCAGCCACCTACATTGTATTTATAATCTATTTAGAAAGAATAATGATGAGTAAACGTTTCACAAAAGGACAATAATTATGGTAGTTACTAGTATAGGTCGTTTTTAAAAAAAAAAATGGATTAAAGTCCCACCAATAATTTGATATGATAAAATGAAATGAAGTAAGAAGTCATTAGAACACGCCTAGGTTTTTTTGCGGAAAGACAACAAGGCATAAATGATTCCCCCCCCCCCCCTTCAAATCATGGAATAGCAAACGTATTACCCCCAACAACTTGTGAGTATTTTATTTTTAAAATTGCTTAGTTGAGAACTTAAAGAGTCGAATAACTTGTCTTTCTTTTTGTGTCTTTATTTTGGTATAAAAATTATCTGCAATGAATACATGGTTTTAATTTTTCAAAATTATATTTTTTCAAAGGTGTTATCAATTAACATGTTTATTTAATTTATTTTTGCTGCTGCATAGATTGAAAAAATCGTTATGGAACCCATTTTTATTTTTAATTTGTATATTTAAAAAATGCATCATACGACAAAACATGTCAAACTTTACCTAATCTACACGATGAAAGTATTTCAAGTATATTTCATTCATTTTTACAAGTGACATGTAATGAATTTTACATTTTTACCTTTCAACCCATCTATAGTTTAGAGTGGAATCAGTTCTTTTTAGACATTGGACGTTCAATGATGTATGTTAAAGTACTCTATATTCATTCTTATAATAAACTATAAGATGATTGTAGGCTTCCATATACTAAATATGTAAAACGATACTTATACACTCATTGATTCAATGATATGAGATTCGCTTGACATATATATTATGTGTGTCACTATAACTGAAGCTCAGTTCATAGTCCTAATAGGCCATAGAACATATCATATACCTTACGCGACAATCTCATTTTATATTCTTTGTTATATATCTGAATCTGTCTATAAATCTTAACGAGGAATGGTTACTGAAAGGGTATCCTAGTTTTTGAAGCAAAGGTCGCATAACTACTAGTATATCAAGATCTGCTATTTTAGATTTAATGTAGTTCGTTATATACTTTTAAAACTTCTTCTACACCATTCAAAAGAATTCAATCGTCAGAATTAGATTAATCGTGATGGAGAAAATTATTATTGAGAAAGAGTAAATTGAATTTTGGTTGTTTTAATATATATATATATATATATATATATATATATATATATATATATATATATATATATATATATATATATACTAGTATATATAAATAAATAAATAAATATATATATATATATATATATATATATATATATATATATATATATATATATATATATATATATATATATATATATATATATATATATATTCAAAATTACTGTTTAGTTTGCTGTAAACGCACAATTATATTCGAGTACTTAGTATAATACAAAGTGTGGAGTATAAGCATTTTTTAACACTGGACTTTCTATATTCTAGTATGTACAAAAATTATGGCAATGGTGAGTTCAGAGATATTTAAGTTTTGCTGCATTTTTGGTAATTCATAGTTCCGACTTTTCTCCCGAAGCTCCGCCCACCTTAGTTACTGTAACTAAGTCCCACATGTTCATCATCCTCGGTCGCGACCGACAGTTTAAAGTCGATTCCGGACGATTTCTGTGTGAAATATCTACCCAACAGTTCAAATTTATCGGAAAAAGTTTTACAAAAGGGTTTGAATTACTTTACCCAAGGATACATTCATAATATTAAGATTTTCAGTTTGGATAACTCCGTACAAGTTGCAGCACTGGAGGTCAATCATACAGTGATATTTTTTCTTGCATTCTACAAAGACATCGTATTATTATGATCTCACGAATATTTATGAGAGTACCTACGATCCACCAATTAAATTCTGCATTTGAATAATTAAATTCTGCACTTGTATACTATAATAAAAGGATTTTGTTTTGGTATTTTTGTTGTATATTTTTATTTCTTCTTAAGAATATCAGATGTAATTTTATTTTTTTTTTCCTTCGTAGACAAAAAGATCAGTCAATGATAGCCTTTGCTGGATGACGTATTAAACTTGCATATTAAACATTGCAGACCTTGTTTGATTCATTTCTCTACTAATTAATTAAGAACCCGGGAGTAAGTGTTATGGTAAATTTTACATCATACAAGTACTGGAAAATACTGAAAAAAAATATCTTTTAAAGATCTTCTACATAACAGCAATGTTATACAAGACATATTGATATTGAAGCATCCCCATCCTATATGAATCACTAATATCGCGATCCTTTCGAAGCAGTCTAGTTGCTTCCTGTGGAGCTTTGACTTCTTCTTTGTTTCTGTTTTTATTTTACCTTATCATAATAAAGTTTTAGCTTATACATAAAAGCAAACACAATATGAAAAAATCTTGTGTGTGTGTGTGGGGGGGGGGGGGGGGTAATATTTTTGTCCAGAAGAAAAATTAGACAAGTCCCTAGATTAATTAATCAGATATCGGATTCTTTTTAACTGGGTTTTCAACTCTGAAACATATAGGTAAACTTAAATTATCCTAAAGGAAAATTATACAAGTCCCTAGATTAATTCATCGGATATTGGAAATTTATGTAAGAACTAGGTTTTCCACTTTGAAACATATAGATAAACTTGTTGAAGTTTCCTGACACGGGATCAGGTAAGACTTTTAAACTGATTATTTGAAATAAAAAGACAACATGAGACCAGTCCATTCTTCCTTTTGATTTAAAAAATCATTCAAAGAAGACATCAACGTTTTCTAATCAAAAATTTACCTGAATATATTTTAAAATTTTATTTTTCCCTCAGACAAAAAACAAAATAAAGAAAAGAAAGGAAATAACAACGGCCTTGAGGTGTAAATTTCATCATGATGAAAAAAGAACATACATTGAATGAAATGCACGTGCGTGTTACTGACAGATTACTGCCTCGGGAAACATTTAATGTCGTGGCGAATAATGAATGACAAGCTCATTTAAATATGTATTGTTAACGTGGAAAGGACAAACTGCATCTTTTGACAACAGGTTTGTGGGATTTTTTTTGTATCTCTAAACAAAAGTAATGCATATATTTCAAGTTTAAGATAAATTACAAATTTTCAAAATAACTGCCAACAACGTTGGCTCGTAATTTGCGCTAAACAGATGTTTAAAACTGTTTCTAAATATATCTTTCTCCATGACCTACACGATATAATGGTTGTAATATTCCATCACAGTAACGAAATGTGGTTAAGTCGTTTCATCTTTTTATTTAAAGTACTGTTATATTTTACTACTGTAACTATTTTCTTTTTATTATGCTATACAGGCGTAACGTTTTCAAGGTTGCAAGTGCCTTGATTGATGTACAAAATTATTTTGTTTGCTTTGAATAAAAAATATATTACTAATAATTATTTTAATTTTAAGAGTTTATATATGGTGTAGTTTATTGTTTTGATTAATTTTAGTTATTTGAATTTCTAGTTAATACCATGGTTAAGACGATACCATTATTTATTGGAGCGGGAACATTGACGCTAGCCATTATAGTATTATACAACGTATCACAACCTGATAATCACATTATAAAATTTTTTCGACGTAATCGAACAAATGATGAAAAGAATTCCGTCTCATTAAATATACCAGTAAAAATATCAGCACAGGAATTCCACCTAGAAAAATTACCACCGGAATCACCGGCTAGAAAAATGTTTGAAAAAGAACTTTCCAGAATAAGTTACAATTTAAAATCCGGTCAAATTGCTGATTATGGACCAGGATCTTCTGTTGTGTATTTCGATGGAGATGTTGAGAAAACTGTACAGCCTAATTCAATGCTTTCTGAAGCTGTGATAATTCCTGAACAACAACAACAAACAGATCTCAATTTACACAATCTACTTACTAATGAAAATGGAAAGCTATCGAATATTCCTTCTCAGCTTAATTCAGAAACTCATAAAGGAATACAGAATGTCCCTATTAACTCAAATAACCCAAATGTAATTCAAAACACACAGCTTCTAAATGTCCCTACTAATCAAAATTCTCAAAATGACCATTTACAAAATGTTCCTGTCGTGCGAAGTGACCCAAATGCACAAATGCCAAATGCACAAATGCACCAAATGCAAAATGTACAAATGCCAAATGCACAAATGTTAAATTCACAAATGCCAAATGTTCATAATCCGCAAGATTGGAAAATCATAAACCAAAGTGCACAACTATCAGCAAATGAAATAGAAGCACACGACAATCAATTAGAAAATCAACCTGGTCTGCAGAATCAGCAAAACTCAATGGCGAAAATAAACTATAATTCTGGTGGTGTTTGGCAGCCAGTAGAACAGAGCCATCATTTGTCGGGTATTGTTCAAAGTGTTCAGAAAGACCCAAAGGCGGGAGCAACTTATTGATGATTTGGACTGTGTGAAGATGTCGCCATGCTTTTATCTTTTCTAATTAAATTAGAAGCTATTGTTTTTTTAAAGTATTACAGTATATGTATTTTAAAGTTTATTACCTTTATGAGCTTTACATGATTATTTTCAGTATTATTAGAAGGAAACCTTTTTTCGATACTTTTAGTTTGTGTATAAGAAATTAATGTAATAAACAGTTTTTTCAGGTCGCTATGTGGTTTTAAGTACAGCATAATTTGTCTTGTACTTGTTGACTATTTGCAATTGCAAATACTAAGATAACAAACAAATTGGACAAATTTTATGTGGGCAAGATTGACCTTTATACATTTTTATGAGAAATTTTCTTCCTGACTATACATGTATATGGTTTAGTTGAAACATGGAAACATTTTTATAACTTAAATCCAGAGAATGTTGTGTAGCCATCAGCTTTCTCGGAGGCAACTGCTACCCAGACAAGATCTCCAGCAGCAATGCTCACTATAGTCATTTTGCTGCAGTGGGGTCATGCTTTTACATCGTGGCAGTAGTTCAAGTCTTTTTGGACACCGTTAACCATTAATGCGGTTTTGGACACTTTATTTGGAAATGACATCACTGCCCAGTCAAACACGTACTTTCCGGATCGTGGAGCTGTGAAAATTCCTGTTCTGGAATCGTATCCTTCGCCCATATTTTTTTCAACCGATTCATAGATTAGTTTGGATCCTTTAACCACGTTCTGGAAATGTTTCTTTAGTTTCACATTAAAAGCAACAGGGTCACCTAATAAAAATATTCATGCATATTATAGTTCAAAACATTCTTTTTTTATCTAGATAAACATAACTTTTGATTAAATTATTTAACTAAAACAGATAAATATGTAGAGAGAGAGGGAGAATTACCCATATTGTATTTTCCCTTAATAAACCCCACCTCCTGACAGGTGTGGGCAACACTAGCATAGTCTTTCCGGAAGTCTTCTAGACTGGGACGGGGTGACAATCTTGTTTTTCCTTCCATCAATGTTGCTGAGCAGAAAAGCGTCCACATTAAGACTTCTATGTTCATTACTTTAATAGAAAAAATACTTGTAAATAAAAACTAACAATACATAAATCATTTCTGATTACAAGAATCATAAACTTTGATGATGAAGATGATACGTATGCCTTAAAGATTAATAACAAATGCAAAAATATTGCTCACACAAGCGTTACTTTTATACGGTGGCTGGTATAGGACATGGTATGAGAATTTTTTTTATTAATTCGTGGCCACGAAATAAAATTCGTGGGAACGAAATAAAATTCGTGGCCACGAAATAAAAATTCGTGGCCACGAAATAAAATTCGTGGCCACGAAATAAAAATTCGTGGGAACGAAATAAAAATTCGTGGCCACGAAATAAAATTCGTGGCCACGAAATAAATTTGTGCTACATAATGCCATTTTTAGCTTCTTCTGTTTTATGTCATTCAAGATGAACGAACTTATATATAATTATCATTTAATTGGAATGAGCCAACGGGATATATGTGTAATGAGCAATGAGATTCGATGCTGTTACGTAGAACATGTTTCACATGAGAAGTTATACTCCTAACATGCTAAGATTTTGTGTCTTTATTTCATTACAACTATGTGACAGGATTCAATAGAAAATGTGAGAAAACAGCAAATAAGCCCTTAAAGTCATTAATGTTCGGGTTGCCTTGACTAATATCAGGAACAAAACTTGCCAGAGTTATTATAGTTAAGAAAAATACATAACTTGGCTAATATAAAATTGTCCCTGTGTATCATATCATCTAAAAAATCGTGACTTCATTCTGTGTCATGTAGCATGATGACAAGCTGAAGAGAACACTTTCATTTTGTTTTATCATTTGGTTAGGATGTCATTTTGGATGCAGTATCATTGAACTGCCTTAAACTCAAGAACAGTCAATTGAATCGGCTTGAATGTCTTGTTTTAATTTTGGGCACAGAGCAAAAGAGATAGTTTATTATTATTATTATTTTTTACATCTAGACTATGTTCATAATGCATGTACCAATTCTCAGCTGCTTCTAATATATATGCAAATTAAATATATGGGTATTTATAATGATGTTTATCAGTGCGGGCCAGTTACAATAATCTAACTGTGTCTGTGTGTCATGGGACAGACTCTCACTAGGACCATAGCAAATTATCATTTTAACACTATATGTACATATAATTGTGAAATAAAAATTCGTGGCCACGAAATAAAAATTCGTTCCCACGAATTTTATTTCGTGGCCACGAATTTTATTTCGTGGCCACGAATTTTTATTTTGTGGCCACGAATTTTATTTCGTTCCCACAAATTTTATTTCGTGGCCACGAATTTTTATTTCGTGGCCACGAATTAATAAAAAAAATTCTCATACCATGTCCTATAGCAGCCACCGTACTTTTACGTGCACTGTGAATCGAAAACAAAATATATATAACGTGCTATGAATTGAAGAAAATACATATTTAAGAATATTCGCTCCTCAGCCACGACCAATGAATCTTAAAATTGTTTAAATTAAAAAGTCTCAAAATTAAGATTGAAGTTGAAATCTTTTTCTTAAACAGTTTTCACTTTCTTCATTTCAATATGATTCAAGGTTCTTTGAAGTCTTAGAAACGGTCTTGTAAAAAATTAACATTTGTACCCCACAAAAGTACAAAAATAAAACATTTTTAGAGAAATCAGATTTCCTTTAATCTTTAGTTACCAATGTTTTTGGCATGGTATGAAATTAGAAGTGATCTGTGATGTCTTGCAATGATAGCACAAGCTTTGTGCACTATGTATTATATAATAATTACAGTAAATAGAAGAACAAAAATACAAATCACTTTGAGAATTCAAAGACATGTTTGTGAGAATTTCCAATTACTTAACTCCTGATTTTCAGAACGTGAGGATCGTAATACCTTAACTTCTTCCCTACATATATAAAATTAAAAACGTTTTTAAAGAAGGGTTCACTTACTGATTTTTCTCTCCATGATACTGCAGAAGTGGTTTGTTTGTTAAAGCTGACTAATAGATAGTATCTTTCCTTTTAGATTTGAACATGTTGCAGCAGATTGAGTTTAGAACTAATATATTGACAGAAGGACTCAAAGCTGATCGTAAATGTGTCGATTATGAGTACTGTTGCTTATTCGAATGTTTTTCTTTCTCAACATATGTTATTTGACTTGTCATAAATATTTATTGATTTTAAAAATCGACAAGGATATTTCTGCTTAATACCAAATAAATCTTTTTATCATTTTTCTCTATCGTTCCCAACTAACTGGTTGGCTCAAACTAGATCACATGACCAAGTATAAAACATTACATGAACAGGGAGCTACTAAAAGATTATAGACCTAGTGTTTCTAAAACTGGAAACAATCTTCTGTGAAAACAACAATAGTAATGATGCCTCAATAATCACTATAAACTGGATGTTTCTAAAAGCATATACTTCAGCTGCTACTTGAAATTGACATCATAATAAGAATGAAGTACGAAGATCATTTATAGAAATATGTAGACTTTTGACATAACTTTTTTTTTTATTTAAAACTCTCTGGCTGCGACAGCTGTGAACAAACAACGTTGCGTCACTGCGACAATAGTTGACGTCATGACGCTTGCCTTGCATAACGCGCATATAAGCAAGGTGCTTTATGCTAATAAAAATAACGACACTGGTTTGATGTTCAACAACACAATACATCGAGATAGTGATCCAGGATATACACATACGTATATTTAAAAAGAAATATATTATACTACGTCTGAGAAAATTATTACTTTTTTTTATCGTGAATGATTTTTCAAGTGATGTCCTACCACCGATACTAAAAACAGCAAATATTTATTGAACGACTTGAAGGTTCATAAATAATTTTTCTTGTCATTTTAAATACCCATTAGTTGATACATGTAGTTTTAAAAGTTGTGTCTGTTACATTGAAAATGTTATTTATTTTTTTATTAATAATTATCTAAAGATAATTCAATAGACTTATTATTTGGAATAATGATTCTTATTTGAAAGCACAATCAGTCCATCCTGAATCACTAATATAGTGCTTTCTAATAAATAGCAGTTTCTTCAAATATTTCGAAAGAAATTGAAAACAATAACAGTTCAGGAATAAAAACATCACTTTATTCTTCTGTAATATTTCTAACTGTGTGATATGGCTGAAACAATAACAGTTTAGGAATAAAAACATCACTTTATTCTTCTGTAATATTTCTATCTGTGTGGTATGGCTTGAAACATTTCACGCAAAGTCCAACATGACAAGGGGCACACCATGTTCTCACTTTGCTTTTGCACCGACAGCAGAGTTTTCTTTTGCTTCCTGAGAAATAGACATATTTACTATAATTGTTGGATCTTTCTTTCAGAAGTTATATTTTTTCACCCGAAATTTTATTTATTCTGCGATGAATTCGTGATTAGGATAAACAGGTTAACCAATATCCAAATAAAAAGGACTATTGCAATATCATTACTCTACTTTGAAAGAGACACTATATATTGAGATTCACCTTCAAGACATTCAATATAATGTCTCTCTGTTAACCTGGCTGTATACGTAGTACACAGGTTTTGTGCACCTGCTTGACGCCTTGGTTGGCGGAAATCACCTATCAAACCTGTACAAATGCTCATATGAAATTCTGTTCTGCTCATCTTGACACGCAATCCTCTGTTTTGCCGGTAAATAATGTAGGCATTCGCTAGGGAAAAACAATTTAAGTCTTGTTGCTAATGAGTATAATTCAAAACAATACAGCGATTGAAACAGTACGGACAATGTTGATGACAGAAGATAGGTTTATGACAATTCAAAACAATTTTTTTATTAACTATATGATATCTATTTTTTTAATTATTGATACATTGAATAATACCAAGATAAAACTCTATAACTTTGCGCAGATCTTTGTGCTAAAAAAAATATATAAAGAAATGTTGAATGCACGGAACTGTAGCTCTACGAGCGTCCATGCCAATTCATATTTTAATCAAACCAGTGAGCTACAAATATATATATATATATATATATATATATATATATATATATATATATATATATATATATATATATATATATATATATATATATATATATATATATATATATGTCACAGAAAATATATATGCAGAAAACCTATGTAAATGTACCTACACATAATTCTAAGCAAGATATTGATGAGTATTTTCCTCCACATCTTTTTTGATCTAATGCATGGGTCATACAGCTCTAGAGATTTGTCTGAGAGGTCGACTCCTCCCATTTTCTTGTTATATACAAGATTAACATGGGGCACTTCAACGTTTACGCCTCGTGCATTTTCAGTAGTCACAATACTGTAAGTAGATTAAATGCAAGTTATGGTATAAGTATTATCAAAATAGAATAAAATTACTTCTTCGAACCACTTTATATTTTTTTTTTATATCACTCACCGTGTAAATAAATTTACTTTTAATTTTGAGATCTTGATATTACATACCTTTTTAGAAAAAAAATTGACTACTTTGGTTGTAATGGCAAATCACATTTATAAATCATTATAAATCACATTTATTCAATAGAAGTTAGATAAATGAATTACTTTGTCATAGAAAGCGTGGATAAAAACGTGACAGTTTTTCTGTCTCCATAGCACAATGCCATGATCGGTCCACTCTGTTTTATAAGAGCCTCTCCTTTGGGCAATTTCAATCCTTTCAATGACCGAGGCATCCCTTTCCTACAAACTCTAGCCGTGCCTGTCATATAAGTTTTTGACGTGAACAGAGTATCACAAAGAGCGGGACTTGAAAAGTAATTGTCACACACGAGGTGATGATATCTATGTAGGTATGGTTCAACAAGCTGCATAATTACATCATAACCCAAACCGTGAGCGCTACGGGATGTATCCTGTTGTCTTCCTATCAATCAAGATTTTTATTAAGCACTAATATTAAGAGATTTCATTTTTTTTATGAATCATATATTTATTTCAGCAGTGGAAGATTTTTTTTGAGATATTAAATGATATAGCATAGCAGACCTGAATATAACTGAATCGCTGCATTGTATCCCGTGTCAGACTCAGCTAAGACAAATAGTTTAGCTCCCCACTGATGTGATTTTTTTGCAGGTACATACTGCACGATTTCGTTTCTCCCCTTTGGAAAAAAGACATCAAACTTATTTTTCGAAATTTCAAAACAAATATTTGGAAATCAAATATACGTATTGTTTAAGCGGGGAGGGGGGAAGGGGGGCGTATGTGTAAAAGAACTCTCGAATTTACAAAAAAAATATATGATTTATAATTAATACCATTGTAATTACTTATATGGTTAAAACTGACTAAAATCAAAAGATTATAATTCGTATATTCCCCTTATCTAATTTATAGGTCAAATGTTAGAAAGGGGGGGGGGTTAAATATTAACTTTTCAAATTTACTGCAAACAAGTATACTAGTATCATTTTTTAATTTAAAAAAGCAACTCTACCCGGATCCCCCTTCCCTATTACGGAAGATGCAAAAAAAAAAAAAAAAAAAAAAAAAAAAAAAAAAAAGAAATGCGTTTAAATTTTTTTTTATATGTTCAAATGAAATTCGAGCGAATTTGAAGATATTTTTCGAATGAAAGATTTTTAAAGTGAAACTGAAGATTTTGTTTTTTAATGACAATTACCTTGAACCCAACCATGCTTTCATCTACAGTAATATCCTTTGCTAAGTCATATGCCTTTGGGAAAGTGTAATTAACAAGGTCTAATACTGGACGGAATTTGTGTGCAGGATCATAGCCGGGATGGTCACGTGGAACACGGGTCATATTATCATTACAATGAAGAAATTTTGAGAGAAGTTGGAATCTGTCTCTTGTCATGACTTCCGAAAATCCAGGTGTCCGGAATAGCCAAGAATTCTCGGACTGCTGCCAGTAGGCCTCTATGCTGGGTTTTTTAACTACACCCATCGAGAGAAACAAACCTAAATATGCAGACATTTCCTTTGCATCCGTTAAATACCACTCATGTGTTCTAGCATTTGGTTTAGGATCATAAGGTGGATCTGTTGTTCTGCATACAAATTAGTTTCATCGACGAGGATGTCGATGAGACTTTTTCTGTCTTCTGGATCCGGGGCGGAAAGTTTTTTGAAGTATTCTATTGGATGGGGCTCTATGTCAGGTGGGACAACTGGGCCCATATGGCGTGAGAATGGACAAATATTGTGCGGATATTCAAAATTTTCCACATACCGTACGTTTGTCCACAGTCTATTGATTTCTGGAATGTTTATATCTGCATCACTTTGTACGTCTGAATCTTCGGAAATATAATCATAATCAGACTCATTGTCTGAAGCGGAATCCATAATGTCCAAATCCAAAAATGACGTAAGAATGGCGATGACGTAATTTTGGCCAGTTTTTACGGGAACTTGTATGTCCCGAGTATCGTAGTATATAATTATAACAATATTTGATGCAAAATAATTTTTCAAATTTATTCAAACTATTTATTTTTTTATGATTGATTAAAAATTTATTATTATGAAAATTTATTCATTTTTGTGATTGTTTACGATTATTTCATCACAACTCATTAAAACTTAATTTATTTGTTAATACTTTCTCATTTAATTATGTTCTTACACAGAAAATTGTAATATAATTTAAAAATTGTTATGTTGGATTTTTCATTTTACAAAGTTCAGATTATGTCTGCATCTTTTAAAAGAAAATAAAAGAAAAGTAATTTATAAATTTATCTTTCAAAAGAAATTTTGATAGTGAAAATACCACTGAGTTCTATTCCACGATGTATAGTGTAAGACACCATTACGACGGCAGACTTGCATGAGCAGACACTTTTAAAAAAAATAGTGTACTTAATAGCAAACAAAACACCCGTCAAAATATAATTAAAGTTATTCTTTTTTTTACAACACCCTCGTAATGGAAATACAACAAACGCGATCAAGTTTTGACGTCGTAAAGGACATATATGTCCTTGTGTCATGGTGCGGTACTTTTTCTTTTGATGTTAGCCATACTTTAAATCAGATAGAAAACCTTTGGCTGAATTCCAACGTACTATAACTTCTAGGGGGCGGAGCTTAGCCGTACAATAACTTCCAATGTACTGTACAATAACTTCCAAAGGAACTCAATACTTTTGAAATTTTTTTTCTTCAATTTCTGTAAGCATATACAACCTATCCAGAGGAAAAATGAGAGACCTCACAAAATTCACCCCCCCCCCCTTTCGATCTGAAAATGCATACGTGAAAACCATTTTCATGAGGATTACATGTAAACTCATTAGTTAACTAATTTAAACAAATATTTTAAAAATACACAGACTTTCTTGAAATACATGTATTCAAATTAAAACAGATAAGTGAAATCTAACAATATTGAAAACGCGCAGTTCGACGATTCCCTTAATAGCAACTGTTTTCTGAGTTCTTTGAGTTACATGCAAACTGATACATGTTCGTATATAATTGTATCTGGACTATTTCACACTACATTCTATAACTTTGATACCTGTGGCTACAGTACTTGACTCGGATTTCCTCGGGACATGCAAGCGTATCCCTAGTAACAGTAATGTAGCGGGTCAAAGTGCGGGCGGATCCAGGTTTCCAGTATTGTGCCTGTATTTGTTATGGTTTTTGAAATACTCATACTGCTTAAATTAATCCATCAAATACAATTTCACACTCGTTTAACATTGCTTGATTTTTCAATGCAACCATCTCCTTCGTACTTTCTGCTTTGTTTGAACACCGGGCCTGTTCACTTACGATGGACCTAGGCCTATGACGTAATGTCGCGTGCAGTTTGGTGCTGAAGGAGTGACTATGCAAATGACCATGACACAAGACATTTACAGACACTTTCTTTCGTTTGTAAGGAATTTATTGTACAGAGAGGCGTGACAGTCTCGTCGCTGCGCGACTCGACTGCCACGCCTCTCTGTACAATAAATCCCTTACAAACGAAAGAAAGTACTGTAAATATAACTTCTCGCAGTCAGCGGTAAAAGGACGTAAATGTCCGACGCCGCAGCCAGAGGGTTAAATATTACAAGTATAACTAAATTTGGAAAACATATTTTAACAATTAATCCAAATAATTTGAATTTAAAAATCAAATATATCATGGGATATATTAAAATTATTTGAAATTTAAGACTGACAGAATGGGGTTACAGAGTTATTAGTCATGACTCTAACACATTATAAGTTGATGTTATCGGGATTTCAACAACCTTTTTTAAAATCAGCATTTCGTAAATTCTATGGGTGTTATAATGACCTTGTTAGCAAATATAACCTTAACAATGGGTCTTTTTTGGCTGATGTTTCATGTCAATTGTTAAACCTTGTTTTTATACTAAATTTGACTACGAAATGTTCCTTCTACCTGATCAATACATAGCGTTCATGGGGGGGGGGGGGGGTTTCAACAGGTGATGCTTACTCCTCCTGGGCGCATGACCCCCCCCCCCCCCCTGAAATTTCAGTGGGTCCATACGTGAGATCGATCACTGTCCGTTATCTTCACTTTTTTTTCATTTTCTAATAAATGTCACTAAAACAAATAAAACATAAACGTTATATTATGTTTTGTTACACCATTTCAGATGCCAAAGTGATATGTAATATTTATCTTCGTTTAAAAGAAATCAGAAGACAGATAGTCCTCACTAAAAAAGCAAAAAAAGATGACACTGCAGGATAGCACGAAGCAGTGATTAGAGATCTAATTTTGTATTGCAATCGGGAAACTTCTAAAACAAACTCTTAGAATGCTACAGATATCAGTTAATATAGTGAGCATTGCATTAGTATAAAGATGACAAAGCCAGTTTTGAGTAATTGTGACATTGAATTACATGATGGACGGTCTGGGAGAAACCATATTACAGGTAAAAATCTGGTCAAAATGGTAATGTCATGGAAACTGATGTGCTCTTCAGTGTTGCTTTATAATATTATTGTGCGCGGTAAAGAATTCAAAAACACTGACTAACTTACGCTTCTTGAACAATTGTTAGCTAAATAAATTTCAGGTGCTATGGGAATTTTTTTCAATGAATGCGGTAATGCGCTACAGGCCCTATAAGAAATGAAGAGAGAAATTTTGATTTTGAGAAACTTTCACGAATTAATTTGTTTTTGACGTTACAATGCTCCGTTATTACAAAATATGTCGTATTTAAAATTAAGAAACATGAGTTTCGCCAGATCAAATGGAATGAAACTTCAAGTGCACATTGGCAAAATATTTTTTACGTATGAAGATGGTTTGATCTTAAATATTGTAAAACTAATGTGATGAAGCAACATTGTCTTCTATTTTTTGAATGACCCTCCAAACATTGCCCTTGTATGAGAAACGCCTACATACGAAAACATGGATTTTTAAGATACATGTATTAAATGATACAAATAAATAAATAAAGAGAACAAGTGTAACCTTTTGATTCGGCACAATTATTTGATATATAGACCTTAGAAAAAGCATAATTTATCGACTTGTTTTCTCGAGGATGAACAAGTGTATGTATCTAGGGACTGACCTCATCAAAAAGCTGTATTTGTATAGCGTATTAGCAAAGCTATATAGTGTCCTTTTTTTCTAATATTAAATGTACATGTATATTTATATCACTCTCGATTAAAACTCGGAAATTTTCACATGATCATATTTTTTTTATCTGTTTGCATGTCTCATCTGCTTAGGCACTTCATACGCAGCTGATCTGTTTATAATTTCCTATGAAGCAGAATTTGTTCAAAACCTTCTAAATGAGAAGAAGGAAACACTTGCTGTGGCCTTCAACTCGACATTCGGATATATCGATGGCATTTTATCAATTAACAATATTCTTTCCATTCATATGTCGACTCGATGTATCCAAGTGAACTTGAAATAAAAGACACCACAGAGTCTGCCACCTCTATTTCATGTTTGGATGTTTTACTAACTATAACCGAAAAAGAACCAACTAATAACAAAATTTTATGACAAACGAGATGACTTCAGCTTTTCCATCGTCAAATCCTCAACTTTCCTTATTTATGAAGTAATATTCCGCTATCACCAGCATATGCTGTTTATGTATCCCAACTTATTCGATACTTCCGAGAATGCTCTGAGTACGATCAATTTTTAAGTCGAGGCAGACTACTAACAGCTAAGTTGATGTTATCGGGATTTAAACAACCTTTTTTTTAAGTCAGCATATCGTAAATTCTTTGGGCGATATTATGACCTTGTTTGAAAATATAACCTATCATTGGGTCTTATTTTAGGTGATGTTCATGCCAATTGTTAAACCTTGTTTTTATACTAAATTTGAGTACGAAATGTTCCATCTACCTAGTCAATACATGCTGGGGGGGGGGGGGGGGACAACAGGTGATGCTTACTCCTCCTGGGCACATGACCCCCCCCCCCCTCTGAAATTTCAGTGGGTCCATACGTGAGATCGATCACTGTCCGTTATCTTCACTTTTTTCATTTTCTAATAAATGTCACTAAAACAAATAAAAGATAAACGTTTAAATTATGTATTGTTACACCATTTCAGATCAAGTTTTAAATCGACGCAGGCTACTAACAGCTTAGTTAATGTTACAGAGATTTCAACAAACTCGTTTTAGTATTCTTTGGTCGTTATAATGACCTTGTTATCAAATATATCCTATCATTGGGTTGTATTTTGGCTCATGTTAAGCCTTGTTTTTATACTAAATTTGACTATTTAATGTTCTGTCTACCTGATCAATACATAGGGCTCATGGCGGGAGTAACCGGTCAACAGGGAATGCTTTCCTCCTAGGCACCTGATCCTTACCTCTGGAATTTATAGGGTACATGTTTTGTGCCCTGTTCGCAGATTTGTATCGTTTGTATTTTTTTTTTTTTTTGAGATCGTTCACTGTTCGCTATCTTTA